TCACTCAACAGATACGCGAGATGGTCCGCGATACACCCATACCGATCGTCTTATACGACATGGATGCACCACCTTACTTCGATGACCCAGGAGAAGAAGGTAAAAACGGATAATATGTTGTTTATCTGAATTAGATAAAAGTTATCTTTTAAGTTTACACTTACATAAATACATGATATTTTAACCGACAACTTTGAATGTTTTCCTGTGACAAATTTTCTAAAAAGAGCTTTAAAAGATGCTGACTACGAAGGTGATGATGTTTTCGTTGGGAGGCTATACAAGAACAAGGAGGATTGTACAACAAAACTCGCAATACACGCTATCAGAAGAAAATTCCATTTCATCCTCCCTAAGTCAACACACAAGGTGGTTGCTGCTGTGTGCGTGAGCGATACCTGCCCATGGCGGGTGTACGCAACTAAACTGGAAGAGAGTGATCGGTTCGAAGTCCGTACAGCCGTCCTACATCACACGTGTAGTGTTGATGCAAGAGGAGACTTCCATAAAATGGCTTCAACGGCTGTTATAGGAAAGCTTATGCGAACGAAGTATGTTGGGGTAGGTAGAGGCCCAAGACCTAACGAGTTACGGAAGATACTGAGGCAGGAGTTCAGCTTGAACGTTTCTTATTGGAAGGCGTGGAGAGCGCGGGAAATCGCCATGGACAATGCTATGGGATCCGCCATGGGGAGCTATGCTCTGATCCAGCCCTACTTCAAGCTTCTGTTGGAGCCGAATCCCGGCTCCTTAGTGTATCTGGAAACAGCGCCAGGGGCGCCAGGGGCAGACAGAGTGGAGAGGTTCAAGTATCTATTTTTGTCACTCAGTGCATCAATCAAGGGGTTCGCTTATATGCGAAAGGTTATTGTCATCGACGGTACACATCTAAGGGGGCGTTATGGGGGCTGTCTGATCGCTGCTAGCGCGCAAGACACGAATTTTCAAGTATTCCCAATCGCTTTCGGAATAGTAAACAGTGAAAACGATGATGCTTGGACTTGGTTCATGGAGAAACTTGCAGAGGCAATCCCGGATGACCCAGACCTTGTTATCGTTTCCGATCGCCATTCTTCAATATATGGAAGCATCCGTAAGGTAACTTGAATCTCACCCCAGGCATTATTTTAGTTTAAGCGAACATCGTTGATAACTTGTCTAATATCGAATAGTACTTTAATTACAGTGTTTTAAAATAATAGCGACGCGTAGCACCATTTAGTTTTTGATATACTGTTTCAAAGAGTATTATATGATAAATATTTACGAACTTGATATACATAAACAATTACACGACGTAGATAACTAAATTGTTCCGCCTTAGCTGGTTAACTAATATTTGATGGATTATAAGTTAGTAGTTATCATTGTTTAAAAGTAGGTAGATTTAACTCGGTAGGTTGATTGATAGCCACCTAAGTATGTCGTATCTCCCGTACAACAAGTTATCATGGTAATAAAATAGTTATATATTACTATGTTAATTAATTGATAACATTTAGAATTTAGCAGCTCAATAATTTTTACGTTATTGGATAATATTTGTTTTATATGATAACATATGTAATGGTTATATGTGTAGGTATACCCCATGGCTTCTCATGCGGCATGTGTCGTGCATCTGAAACGCAACATCCTGGCAATATTTAAATCAGAGGCACTAAGCTGTCTTGTCTCTAGCGCTGCAAGGGCATATCGGCTTAGCGATTTTAACAAGTTATTTGGTGAAATTCGGAAAATGAGCAGTCCTTGTGCAGACTACTTAACTGGAATCGGATTTGAGCACTGGACCAGATCCCATTTTGTAGGGGAGCGCTACAATGTCATGACCAGCAACATAGCTGAGTCCTTGAATAACGTCCTTACTATGGCTCGGGACTACCCGGTGATCTCTATTTTGGAGACAATTCGTACAACCTTAGTGACATGGTTCGCTCTACGCAGAGAAGCAGCTAGGGTTGAGGATAACATCTTACCACCTAAGGTGAATGACATGGTTATTGAGAACTATGAGAAGGGCTCGGGTTTTTTGGTTATTAAGATCGGGGATGGCATGTATGAGGTTCATGACAGCGAGGACTCCGCTTTCGCCGTCAATCTCTGGGAGAGAACCTGCACCTGCCGTGAGTTCCAGCTGCTGACCATACCATGTTCCCACGCTATTGCCGCAGCTATCCGAGAAGGTCTGAAGGTGGACACTTTAGTAGGTGTTACACACACTGTACCACACCTAAGGGCCGCCTACTCTGAAATGATCCTGCCTGTCCCAGACATGGCCAATCTTGCTCCCTCCCCAAATGATGTAGGTGGAGGAAACTTAGGCCCTCCGTTTGTGAGGAGGCCCCCAGGCAGACCAAGGAAAAGAAGATTGTTCTCGAGGGGAGAATTTGCCGTAAGTTTATCAACTAATTCCTCCACTTATTGAATAAAATCTAAGATATCCCCCATTATATAAAACTGTTGGATAAAATTTAAGATATCCCCCAACTAATTCCTCCACTTTATAATGTGTGATGATAGAGAACTACTAGGAGGAGGTGCACTAGGTGTCGTACTCTAGGACACAACAGGGCTACTTGCCGTGGTCCACTGCCGGTAATGAAAAAAAAAACTTCGTAATACAATGTTCTGTTCGATTTATCTAATAACAAAATGTTTACCTGTTACCAGGGAACTTAGAAGGTCTAAGAAACTAGTTTTTTGTGCATATGGCGGTCCATTCGCTGCTTTGTTGCAAAAATAAGGAAGCAGCAGAAGAATTCGGGAAGATGGTGGCAGAAATTTTTATTTGTATAAAGTTCCTAATCTGTTATCGGCTATTTGTGTAATTATGTGTAAGGTTCCCAGTAGGGATAACTCTAAATCTGTGTTTGGCTAAACAATGTTCACTACATGGGCATTGTTTATCTAAACAATGTTTTCCAAAACACTTAACTTTAAATGAAGATTGGACGCCTTAAGTTAATTTTCTATATCATCTTTATTATCATTAGTATTCGTTGGCAACAACGACGACACAAATGTAAATCATGTATACAGTATATCAGTTATTAAAATCTTTATCGATATAACTTACATATTATCTGGTAACTACATATTTATCTGATTAGTTGCTGTAATCATTTTGTGGTTATTACATAATCTAAACACTACCAACTAATTTAAGTCAACTTTTAATCTCAAAATATAAATTTGATTCAACTTAAATCCTAAACCCAAACCAATAAATTGTCAACGCACACCGCAATTATAATTTCGATTAATTAAAATATCTAAACCCTAACCACTGAATTGTCAACCCAAACCCAAGTCTTTAATTCTCTTTACTTTCAAAATCTAAACTCTGACAATTATTCTGGATTACTATTGAAAAGTGATTAATAATAGTCGCTAGTTTATTTTTAAACTCGTTAACATTATTGTCTAGATAAACGTCGTCTTATCAGTTAATTATATATTTATCTCAATAGTGTTAGTCAACCACTATTTAGCCAACCCAAGTAAACAAAATAATTACGTTTAGTTTACAAATCTAAACCCAAACGACTTTGAAGTCAACCCAAACCGATAATAGCCGATAATTTATCTTTTAGCCTCGTTAAAATCATTTAGGGGATAAACTCCTTATTATTGGATTACTATATATTTATCTAGATAGTATTAGTTACCCACCATTATGTCAACCCAAGTAAACAAAATAATTACGTTGAGTTTAAAAATCTAAACCCTAACAACTAATATGTCAACCCAAACCGAAAAATATAAATTTGCTAAAAGTTATTTCCTAAACCCTAACCAATCATTTCTCAACCCAAACCGAAAATTAAATTGGACTTTAATAAAAAAATCTAAACCCTAACCACTAAATTGTCAACCCAAACCGAATTCTTTAGTTCTCTTCACTATCAAAATCTAAAGTCTGACAATTATTTTGTATTACAATTTAAAAGTGATTAATAATAGTTGATAATTTATCTTATAACCACGTTAAAATAATTAGCGGGATAAACTTCATATTATCGGCTAACTATATATGTATATGACTAGTAACACTTATCAGTTTATTTTATGCCATGCTAAATAATGAGTAGGAGTTGTCATATCATATAAGAAAAATAAAATCAACAAATTTTATGTCATAGACAACAAGTGATTAATAATAGGCGCTACATTATTTTTAAACTCGTTAACACAATTATCGGGATAAACTTCGTCTTATCGGATAAACCCTAACAACTTATTTGTCAACCCAAACCGAATATTAAAATCGACTTTCAATAAAAAATCTAAACCCTAACCACTAAATTATCAACCCAAACCGAATTCTTTAGTTCTCTTTATTATCTAAATCTAAAGTCTTACAATTAATTTGTATTACAATTTAAAAGTGATTAATAATTCTCGATAATTTATCTTATAACCACGTTAAAATCATTAGCGGGATAAAATTAATATTATCGGCTAACTATATATTTATCTGACTAGTAACGGTTATCAATTTATTTTATGCCATGGTAAATAACGAGTAGGAGTTGTCATATCATATAAGAAAAATAAAATCAACAAATTTTATGTCATAGACAATTAGTGATTAATAATAGGCGCTACATTATTTTTAAAGTCGTTAACATATATATCGAGATAAAATTCGTCTTATCAGGATACTTATACATTTATCTGAATAGTATTAGTTAACAACTATTTTACCAACAGCTAATATGTCAACCAACTATATATTTATCTGACTAGTAACAGTTATCAATTTGTGTTTAAAAATCATTAGCGGGATAAACTTCATATTATCAGCTAAATATATATTTATCTAACTAGTAACAGTTATCAATTTATTTTATGCCATGGTAAATAACGAGTACGAGTTGTCATATCATATAAGAAAATTAAAATCAACAAACTTTATGTCATAGGCAACAAGATAAGGTACAGAGTCGACAGAATCGATGTGCTAACAGAGTCAAATACAAAGCAGGGGACATCAAGGGCTATGGAACACCGGCTAGAATGATTGCTGATACCAATATTTTAATCTCACAATCCAGCTGCTCGACATTCACCTCTGAACATTCCTCAAGACCCCTAGTGGCGTGTGCATGAATCAGGAAAACAGCCATTATACCAGAATCCAACGGGGATTGAACCTGCGGTATACACGAAGGGCGGGCTATCTCGAAAGGACCTCTAGGCGGTTGAAACACTCCTGCCTGGCTGAGAAGATACGGAAGCATAAAGGCAATGGGTTGGAGTTCGGATATGATTTCTTGGTCCTTCCGCAATTGGGTGTTGCAATCAAGTACAACAATAACCCCGTTATGGAGATCAATGCAGAGAGAAAGCCAGTGCTTTTTATCGAAATTGAAGGGAACATATAGAAAATCCGCTTCCATAAATAGCTTAGCACGACCAGTCTCCCCGACACCTAAAATTTGCCCAACAAGCTCACTAGGGAATTTGAAATCTTTGTGGTCCGAAACCTTGGAAAATTTGGTAAACTGGCGAAACAACAAGGACACAAACTTGGAATCAAGCAAGTCAACACGAAGCTTCTACCCATCTATGTCGTCAGTCCGCAGAAGCTGGCGACTAAATCTAATCAGAGAATCCATAACCTATATTGAATAGAATAGAATCAACTGACATACGCATAGCGATTTTTAATAAGTAACTTTAACAATGAAGGAGGAAAACTTTACCTTCGCACTAAGATGTTTTTTCCTTTCTATTAGATCTAAGACATCTTTGCTGGACAGGGAGACTTCACCACATAAACTAATTGTCCTATACCCCAAAGTAAGTTGGTTAGACAAAAAAATTCAGAAAAATGTCAACCAGAAAGGACCAATATAAGAAATTCCATACCTCGCTGACTTGAGCTTCTTCATCGAGTTTTGGAACCGTTCTTCAGGAGACATCCCAATATTTTGATCAACTGGAGAAGGGTGGCCAACCAATACTTTTGTCTTCTTATCATACTGAAAACGACCGTCTAACTTAGTCGAGAACATCCGCATCCTCTTGCTCCGTCTACCCGGTATCGCTCCTGCAAGCTATGATATACAATCGGATAACAAACAATAAAAGCCCCATAGTTAGCCCCAAAATTATCTACTAATATCATAGTTATCTGGCAACTTATGTGTTACCTTCTTATCCTTTGGCACCGCCGGCGTTATGATTTTTGGGTGAGGAGGCGTCATACACGCCTGCGATAAAAGTGACTGAAACAACTGGGCACAAAGTAATACAAATTCAAGCTTAATTTAGTATAGAAAATTGGAACACAAACCTGAACCGATTCCTGAAGAACTGTATCCTTTGCTTCGGTATCTGGCTGTTTGGTGACAAAAGTTTAATAGGTGCCGTATGATAATCACATTAATAAGGATGCCGAAAAAACCATGATCATGTTACTAACATTGTAACCCAATTCGACGGATACAAGGTGAAGTAAATGCACCCATGTACTGGCATCATATTAATATTTTAATAAGGTTTTATGGTATACGAATATAGGCTTTTTAACCGACGAAAATTAACCCTCCGCATGCCAACATGAACACATGTTGACCCATCCTTAGTTGTTATCCGATAAAATGCAAATTATCTCATATAAAAGATAATACTTATCCCTAAGTAAAGATTACCAAATAAATGAGCCATTAGATGATAAAAAATAAGAAATAGAATTTTTATAATTCATAATCCATAATTGGGCAGGGAAAAAAAAATGAAGCAAGTCAACAATTCAAATACGCAGTTCAGCCCCATATAGTCATGCCGAAAATGTCTAAACTTATCGACTAACCATGGTGTTTTCCAGATCTTTAACACCGCCAACGTCGGTGTTCACAAAAGGGCCATCCAGCTCCTGCTTAGAATAACACAGATGTTTAGTTTAAATAAAAAAGTAAATTCAGAAAGCTGGGTCTAGGTTCACATCTTACCGGCACCACTTCTCCTAGAGGAAGAGGGTCCTGAACAAAACTACGAGTTTCAATTATTCCAACACCACCCTGGTCCACAACCTGGGACATAACAAGAGCATTAATTCAGGAAGAGTATGTCTTTTAAGGACAGTCGTTACAATGTATATCACAAATTAATTTGGAACTTACGACAACGGTATAAGGCAAAATTTCAACCGCTTCGTCATGCATAGGGCCCGAATGGGAAAAACTAACAAACTTCAAAAAGGGTGAAAGATAAATTAAACACCAACCCCAAGTTTCCTATCAACTAGTTGAGCGAACAAACTTAATAGCCTCAAACAGTTAAACCCCAAATAGATAACATGGTTAAAGGTATGAAACACACAATTATTACGCTAATAGTGAAACTATCTCAACTAACCTTAACAATATCATTGATAGGCCCAATGTTCCCCTGTGCAACTTCTCCAGAGTTGGCAACGGCACATTCCTGAAACATCGAATAACTGAACAATGTTATCTAATAATAATAGACTTACATGTTAAGTTTAAATATATCCCCCTTAGACTATAATTTGCATACCTACATGGACTTCCGCAAAGGGTAATTAAATCTATATCATTACTGGGAAATTAAGACTATATTATTACTGTGTGATTAAGTCTATATCATAACAGGGTAATTAAATCTGTATCAGTACATAGTATTTACCAGACAAAGAAATAAACATTTACCGACTAATTAACTCTGTTACAAATAATTTACAACTTATTCATGTAAAATAATAATTATGGTAATAGCACAGAACCACTTGCCTTGTTAGAACCAGCATCGGCCAACGGTTCTGCACTCCCTCCAGTAGCCCGCACCTGGGTTCTTTAAGGGTTAGATATGACATTAGCAAACCTCAAATTGGGACTCAATGGCTGGATGTAACAGCGGGCAGATCACATTACATATAAGGTATTTATAATATTGTAGACAAAAAGATCCGTATAAATATAAAAAACGCTAACAGTATCGTTATCGCCTAATTTATAATCAGACCAAATAACAGTATGTATATAGACTAAACCGACAACAGTCTGGGAGGAAATAAACGCATGCAGTGGTTAGGGCGGGCAAAACAAGAGCTGGGCAATATATATAGAAGGAATTGAAGCATGTACCGGACATATATTGTCTTCCTCAACCTCACCAACCAAGGGGAGCTTATCAACGGTGTCACTGTTAATTCCCACCCGGGGGTCGACGTCACCACCAAGTTCACCAAATCCACTGGAAGACCCCTGTTCCAAATAAAATATACAAATATCAAATAACAATTCAAAAAGCGACTCCGTAACCAGAAGATAAATAAACCTTTATCGGGTAATAAAAAATATATCAAACAACGCACACTTAATCTGGTAGAATCACAATAATCAATATCAAATAGCGGAAGATGGAAATAGAGCAGAACAACTTGCCTTGGGAGACCCAGCAGGTTCTAGCTGTTCCGCACCCCCGCCAGTACCCTGCACCCAGTTTGTAAAGGTTATATATGGCAAACGGACAAACAAAATTGGACTTATAATCTGGGTGTAATAGAGACCTCCGACAGATTGGGTGGGTAATGCAAAAGAATATCAGCCACGGCGGTATCGACGGGGTCAGTGGGGGTATGATCCACATCCATCTGGTCAGTGTCCTCTGGAATACTGGGAAGATTAGATCCACGTACAGGTGATGTCTGATGAGGAGAATTAGTCCTCTCATCTGCTGAAGATTCACTGTCGCTTCCTTCCTGGTTTTTGTGGTTTGCACCGAGACCGTTGGTTGTGATCCACTCCGTAACACGCTTGAAGATACGGTCCTCCAGTGTTCCAAATTTAGTGTCCAACATACGAGACAGAGTTGCAAGATTGCATGTTCCAGTCAACCGTGAAGACTCAGATGCAGCAGAAGTGGGGACTTTAAGCTTCGAAGCGTGGTTAAGAGGAGGTTTTTGCCCTTTGCGGGATCGGGTTATTTTCGCAAGGACACCTCTTTTCTGCTTCTTCGGCGCCAACTCCAGCTGAGAAGGTATGCAACCACCAGTGAACATGTCGTTGTTGAAAAGGAATCCAGACTCTACAAGAGACAATATATTGTCTACAGCCACGTCTTCACATTCATCATCCCATGTCAAATCCTCAGCAGGATCCATTTCAAGATCCGGGAAAATAACAGGGTCAACCAAGATCTATAAAAGAAAACGGATAACAATTTAGCTAATTAATTTGGATCTAATATTCGATAAAACTACTAAATACATATCTCGGTAAAAGCAGACCTTCAGAACATTAACTTAGTGTAATACACGATAACAATTTGGTTATCAGTCTTAAAAAGATAAGCATAAGTTTAGGTGTTAACCTCGCAGTTACCGTCCAATCGTTTCGCGTTTGATATTTTCAACGTTACCGAGCTTCGGTTCCCAACATCGGCGGCTGGTTCTTCCTCTGAATCACTACAGTTAGGTTCCTCCGCCGGAGACCCCTCTTGAATAGCGGGAGCAGCTTGAAGAATCACGAGCTGCAATGCGTATAATAAGCCCTGGACAGCTACACACATCGTACCTAATTGCACAACATCCCGGTCTTTGATAGACTTCATCATCATCTCAAATGATAAACGCCCCCAAGGGTATCCGACAAAGAACTGAAGATCCTCACACATCTCCGCGTGTTCTTTGACAACTTTGGGGTAATGAGAAGTGGGCACCAAAAATCCATCTACTATGGCCAGGCAAGCAAACCTTTTCCGAATTTTCTTGTCGGTGACATGCCTCTTTTTAAGCATGGATATGACCCGGTCAACAGTAACGTCTTCCTCTAGACCAAATAGAGTACTGTAGTAAGGAATTTTTTTCCCAGCCGTCCCCTTTCTTTTTCTCTTTTGCATGTTTGGAAACCTCCCACAATTTAGTCCTGTCACAATCTTAAACTCTCGGAGAGAGAATCGAATCGGGGTACCGGCAAAGACAACCCAGATTTCATGAGGCTTAGCAACTTCAAGCTGCCTCGATAGAAGGAAAAGCCCAAACGATGCCGACCAGGCGGGTTTGTTGGGGAAATCTAAGAGATTCCCAAATGAGGTAGATCTGAGCCAATCTCTCTCCTCATCATCCATTGCGTCGAAGATCAACGACAGGGTTTTCATTTTGTGATAAACATTAACTCTTTCGCCAAGCGCCTCTTCCCCAAAGGCAATAATCCAATTTGGTAGTTCAAGATCCGTCATCTGCAAAAGTCAATTTAGACTATGTCACAATAATCAAACAAAAGCACGCAAGGAAAGGCCAAATCGAAAAAGGTCTAAAAAACTCACCGTTCATGTATCAGAAAATCAAAGGATCGATTTTGAATCGAAGGGTCGATTGACAATGGTCGGAACGGAAGAAACACTAAAACCGTAGAAAATAGTAGCAATCTGTAGAGATGAAGAGGCTTGGTAAACCTTTTATGTTTCCAAAACGACACAACCGCCGCTGATATAAAATCAAACAAATGCGACGATTCGGAATTAACACACCCTATCTTCTTTTTATCTACCCTAGGCTGGACGAAATCCATCGTAAAGATTTGTTTGCAGTTTCTCTGAGCAAATGATAGCATACAGACTACTAAAGTAAGAGGTAAATAGGGTTAGTATCGGAACAGATTTATTGAGCTAATTTTGGAAATATGAGATGAGTCAATCCGAATAAATGGTCAACCTAGTACATGGCTTATAGATACCCTTGTTTTGATGGTTCAAAATAGTGTTATTTACCTTTTTAATGCTTCATCCAACATTATATTTTAAAGAGAAAATTGTGGGGAATGCCATGTACAGTACCAAATCTTTTTTGAAATGCCATTTTCCATAACTCCTTTCAAAACATGCCACATAATCAATACAAAAAGACCATGTTACCCTTATCATCAATGAAATCTTCAAAATACAATTTTTTCTTTTCTTTCATTATCTCTCTTCTTCATCTTTTTTTTCTTCTTCTAACAACAAAAATTTCAGTAGACCAGATCCGACGGACGAACTCCGGCGGACCAAATCCGGCGGACCATAGCCAAGTCTGGTGAACTATAACCAGTTTTTTTTCATTATCTCTTTCTCTTCTTCATCTTCTTCCAACAACAAACAGTTTCAGCGGACCAGATCCGACGGACGAACTCCGGCGGACCAAATCCTGCGGACGAACTCCGACGGTCCAGATCCGACAGACCAGATTCGACGGACCAGATGTAGTGGACCAGATCTTGTGGACGAGATCTCTTTTTTTTTTGTCTATCGTTTTTTTGTTTCTGCTCTTTCACCACCCACAACTTCCACAAAATCTCTCTACTTGTCCTCCATTATCACCCACCAATTTGTACAGATCTGGTTTACATTGTGCCCCTAAATAAATCAAAACTTTATTTGTGTCCTTCTATAGAACGTCTGTGGTGGAGGACCAAACTCCTGGTCTTGGTACCCAAACAAGAGTTGTCTCTCAAAATTTCTTAAAGTAAGTTTTGATAGACCAGATCTACTGCACCCAATATGTCCATCAACACAGTTGTCCATATTTTCTTCTAACTCATCTTTTTGTGTTTGTCTTTCACCGGTTTAAGAAAACATAGACAAACCTTGTTGGACTACAAATCTTACTAACGACATGTCAGAGGACACACATCAGAGTTGTCTCTTGAAATCCGTCAAAGTGAGTTTTCGATGGACCACATCTACTTTATATATTTTGTCCATCATATATTACTTACTCGTCCGCTATTTTTGACATGTATGGTCCATTACCCACAAGATATTAGGTTACATCCCAGCAATTAATGGCTACTGCTGTTAACAGAAAAATCAAAGTTTCTCTCTCCAATGTCCAGGGCAAAATCGTCAAAATTTCATGCTTTGTGGCATGATTTGAAAGACATTTTCAATAATGGCAGTTTCACAAAATTGAGTTTCCAAAATGGCATATCCAATAAAATTCCCTATTTTAAAAGTACTGTTTCTTTCTTATACTCTTGGTCCCTTATCATATTACTATTATTTTGTTGTTCTTTATTTTTCTTCTATTTTGACTTTCATTTTTCTAAAATTTCTAAATCTATCATCCTAAATGTTTACTTTACACTTTAAATTATTTTCTAAAAAGCCTTTAATATTATAAAAAATGAGAGGAATTTTCGACTATTTAGTATCTAATGAATTTGATAGGAAAAATTAGAAAATGTTAAAATATCTAACCAACTTTTGTAATTATACTACCTAATTATTTACAAAATATAATTAAGATAATTAGATACATATATATATAATCTATAGAATAAATTTTATCATGTGTCAATATATAGGTTGGACATATTTTTTTTTGAAAAATAAATTTGAAACATATTTTTTTCCCGAAAATTTCAATGTAACTAATTATTTTTCGTATAATAAATATTAAGGCTATTTATAAAAATGCTTTAGGCCACAAAAAGTCTAGGACCGGCCCTGTCCTTCACTACCAACAACTTCCACAAAATCTCTCTACTTGTCCTCCATTAGCACCTACCAATTTGTACAGATCTGGTTTACATTGTGCCCCTAAATAAATCAAAACTTTATTTGTGTCATTCTATAGAGCGTCCGCGGTGGACATGCATCAGAGTTGTCTCTTGAATTCTGTCAAAGTGAGTTTTCGATGGACCACATCTACTTTATATATTTTGTCCATCATATATTACTTAATCGTACGTTATTTTTGACATGGTCCATTACCCACAGGATATTAGGCTACAACCCAGCATTTAATGGCTATTGCTGCCAACAGAAAAAGCAAAATTTCACTCTCCAATGCCAAGGGCAAAATCGTCATTGTAACTCTCTTTGTGGCATGATTTGAAAGAAGCTTTTGTTAATGGCAGTTTCAGAAATAAGTTTCCAAACTGGCATTCTAAACAAAATTCCCATGTTTTATTAGATTTCATTCTATATAAATTATTAATTTCGAAAGTATATTAAAATATTAAATTAATATTAAATATGTTTATTTATATTCAAAATAGATATGTTTACATATATTTAATTTGGAATTTAACTGTCCACTTTTTATGGTAAAATATTATTATGATTTCCATAAATATAGATAGTTTTTGTTTTTTTTTTGTTTTTTTTTGCTGTCATTAATTATGTTTGGCAACTGGAATATATTTCATGAATTTTTTATAAAAAATTGGGGGGTGTTTGGCTTCAAGTTGTCCTTCCCAATTAATAGTATAGATTTTGATTTACTTTTTTAATAAAAAATGACGTGTCATATTGTTGTATTTTGATTGGTTAACTAAGAAGGGGTGAACAAGAGTGATTCACCTCTAAGGGTGAACCCAAGTATTTTTTTTATAATAAATCAAAGTTTATATACTAAATGTATTAAATAATAATTCAATTTAATAAAATATAAAATCAATTAAAAAGTGTAAGGATATTTATGTTTATATTAGGTAGAAAGATTTTATTATCGTTTTAAATCTTACCTATAATTGATTATGAAATTATTGTAACTAATATTAAAGGATTTAAAGTTTCTAATATGAAAAGATTTAATTTCTAAACTAGATATAAAATGTCAATGTCAATGGCATCGCCACGTAATTAAGTCAACACTCCAAGGTTTTTTTAACCCAATTGTACTTCCAAAATGTACATAACTACATATTGATGTTTCGATTTGAGAAGTCCAAGAAGAGTCATTTAAGATGAAAAACTGGGGGGTGTATTGAACTGCATATTTTAGGAGATTTGGTGAGATTTTAATATTTTAGAATTTTGAGAGATTTGAGTGTAGATTGTAGAATTTTGGGTTATTTGTTAGAGAATTAAAAAGAAAATAAGTTGTGATCTGGTGAGATTTGATTATTAATTTTAAGTGACTTTAGGATACTTATGGATAATTTTTAACGTTGATAACTTTTAAATAAGAAAGAGATAGAACTCTAATCAGTGAAAAACTCTGTTCCACATATAAGTTACACGATGCTTTCTTTGCTTCTCATAAGTTTCTTTTTATGTTCAAATGTACAGCAAATGCAATGCTAGATGTGCAACATCAATACCCCTACAAAAACAATAACAGAACACATTAAAACCAACAACGAAGGAAGATTGAACAACAGAACAAAGTTACACTTTCGGCTGAGAGGATGGTGCACAGAACAAATTTCAGATGGTGTATCATAGAAGGAATCATCAACGTGATTTTACAACATGATAAAGATTTGTTTCAGAAGCTCTCTGAAGTTACCCTTTTCTGCAGCCTTTTCTTTGTGAAGCAGTTTTGTGGCTCGACCTGAAACATTCCTTCAAAACAATCAAGTATTATTCTCTGCATCATGTTTCTCACCTATGCATTTACATTTTTCATGTAGAACCCTCATTTTGTCTGTATATCCTTTTTCATTTTTTTTCTTGCAAAATGTACTTTGTCTTGCAAAATGTCCTCCATCTCCTTTTTCTCTTTCTCAAATTCTCTGATTACCTTCGTCAGAAGCTAGTGGCAAACAAACATCATCACATAATTTCTTAGTTCTAAGAAACAATCCCATGAGGAAAGTGGAAAGAATGTGCTTTGAATCTTCCATTACCTTTATTATGACACTTGTAGAACTTATCATATTGTCCAAACTCGTTCGGTTGCTCATTAGTGCACCATTAGATTTACTAAACTATAATCAATGCTTCAGTTTCGTTTCCTGGGTTTGCTAGAAAAAACTGATCTATGTGAACAGAACAACTGTAATTGTTTGTACGACGAAAAACAAAATGATACTGAATGAGTGTGAGTAACTACATACGTTTGTAGGTGGTTCTCTTCCTGTTTGTGATGATGCTTCTTCTGTATTCAGCTTGTCAAGAACATTCTGCAGTTGCTCCACTAAAATAAGAAAGAAACGAAGAAGAAGAAAAAACAAAAGATTACGTAATTCACAATAAGTGACGATGGAGAAAACACCCGGTTTGGCAATAAGTAAATACTACCTTCCACTGATTCCTCGGTGTGTTCATCGTTGAGTGCAGCTCCATTAAGCAACACAAGGAAAGCTATTACAAAAGTGAACCTAGAGTAATTTAAAATCATTAGTTGTTAGCAGGAAACTTACTGCAGAAAAAAAAGAAAAAGAAATAGCAAATGATGAGACTTACCAGGAAACAACAAAGCAGATTAAGGCGATAATCCAATGAGACCTCGAAGGAGCAGGACCTTTTCTACAACAGATTAAGGCGATACTCATTGGTTACATCTCTACCATAAGCTGGGACGCAGTGTTTTACATGTTGATGACTGCAGCTTTGATCTCTGGGTTGCTGCTCACTAAACTAATCATAGCAGAAGTCAAAGCTATATTGTTTGGATCAAAAGATGAAGTAGCTGCATCATCATCATCACCGATATCGACTACTTTGTAGCTGCGATCAGAGGTTTGGAGACGGCGTAGCTGCGATCTGAGGTTTGGAGACGGCGTCTTTGTTACCAACGATATCGACTACTTTGTTCGGCCTGTATTTCTCCACCCATGGTTCTTCTCTGGTGGAAGAGGCTGAAGAAGAAGACGCCATTTATTCAGTCGGCAGAGCAACGAATATATTTGAGAGTGAGAGAGAAAGAGAGAAGGTATATAGAAGAGAAATGGTTTACGATCATTTGTTTTTTTTAATTGGTTTCATACCCCTTTTTAAAATCCTTTAAAGTTTCACCTATAAAGGTGTGATTTTTCAGTCATATCTTTTAACTAAAAATGTCAGAAAAGTCTCCTAGAATCACATTCAGTAGTTTTTAAAAGAAAACTTGTGATATTTTGAATAACAGTATATTTGAAATGAAATTTATAAATTATTGATTGAATAACAAGAGATTGTGAATGATTTTAAATGATTTCTATAAATTTCAGATTCAATAACATAGGATTTCATAAGAGTTTTTAAAATGACCAATTGAATAACAGGGAATTTTAAGAGTACTTTAAAATCTCCTTAAAATATGCAGTTCAATACACCAAATGACACTTAAACAAGGCTTCTAAAGCTACTAAAGCTAAAACTAGTTTTGTTAAATTTTCTTTTAAACGACTATAGTTGTTGGATCATCAAATCGTGAACACATACATAGCAAATATAAGAAGTAACAAATTCTAACAACATATCACTTTGAAGCTCTAACAAAGCTTGAGAAAGCTGAGGAATCATCTTGCAACAGATGTTTCGGTTTTCCTTGTTCAACCAGGATTCCGCGATCAAGAACAAGTATGCTATCCAAATCACGAACCGTTGAAATGCGATGTGCAATGGTAATGACAGTTACGCCTTTGCATTCGCTCGATATTGTGCTTTGCAGTAAGGAAGCTGTGTGAACATCAACATTAGCAGTGCATTCATCAAGGCATAAGATCTTTGATGACTTGAGTAAAGCACGGGCAAGGCATAGAAGCTGTCTCTGCCCAACAGAAAAGGAACATCCAGATTCCTTTAGATTTGAGTCTAGCCCTCCTGCTTTTTCTACCTCTGCCTTGACTTTACACTTCTCTAGGATCTCCCAGATTCTCCAATCCTCATTGGATCCAAGAGGATCAAGGTTATTCCTATGAGAACCACAACTTTTATCATTGAAAACTGCAAGCAAGATCTTGATTATTTAATGCAAATGAGTAATGTTCTTACCTCAGTGATCCTTGAAACAGAAAAGGACTTTGAGGTACAACAGCTAGGCGAGAACGAAGCTCTCTAACCGGAAGATGGTTAATGTTAATTCCATCCACCATTATCTCTCCATTACAAACTGGAGTAAGCCGGAAAAGGGCGTTCAAAATCGACGATTTTCCAGCTCCAGTTCTTCCAATTACACCAACCTGATCAACAAAAATAAAACTTCATGAGACAAAAAAAAACTCAAGTCTGTTTATAGATTTCTTGGCCATACACATGTACCTGCATTCCTCCTTGGACTATAAAAGAGATATTATTGAGTGCTGGAGGCAGAGTTGGGATGTATCTCATTGTCACATTGTGAAACTCAACCACTCCTTGAACCGGCCACTTACCGCTGAGAGATTGGCGACCGGAGACTTCTTCTTGAGGCACGTCCATGTACTATTCACAAAGGAGACCATGGTTCATGTATCAGTAACATGTATTAGTAACACTAACATATGAAAGTTAATAAATAAAAAAGATTCATTTTACCTGGAGAACTCTTTCAATAGAAACCATTTCCTTTTCTGTTTCAGTAAAACTTGTTAAGAAACTTCCTAAGAGAGAAACCAGTGGAGCTGCATATGACAGCGCTAATCCCACCTGTGGTTCAAATTATACATTTTATGCTTTCAGTTTTCATATAAATTTATGAAAACTTCAGCTTCTTACCAATCCAGGTGTACCAAAACTGATTGGAAAGTTTCCCCGGGAGCCGATAACAGCCATTACGGCGACAAAGAAAACAATCATTGCTCCTAACAACTGCACCAGTTTACTCAACTAATCAGCGCCTTGTAGAGATTGCATACTCATTATTGCAGAACACATGAAACTAACATAACTGAAAATGGTCTTAAACTCCAACGTAAAGATACACAACATAAGGAAAGATGTATTAGTGTACCTGAAGACGCAAAGAGAGCCACAAGCTTGCAATTATCTCTGAGTAAGAAGTCCGCTGGTATACCGTCAAGTGCTCGATAAATCTAGCGACGAAATGGTCCTGTCATGCATAATCAAACTACATTAAAACAGAGAAGCAAAACTTGACACTCATTCAAATCATAGGAACATTTTTCTTTTGAAGCAGAACCTAAACTACCTCAGACTTGGTTTATCAAAAAAATAAACTACCTCAGACTTAAAAGCCCTGATAGTTGATGATCCATCAAGTGTCTCAGTGAAAGACGCGTAGATTGGTGATCGTGAAACACTGTCCAACCTTCGTAGTTCCCTTGATGTTGACCTGTAGAAGAACTGAAACAATTCTAAGTTAGTAAAAATCTTTCAGCTCCTCTTTCTTCATTACAAGAAAATCAAACGTACCTGAAGCTTGCTGTATATATACCAAAATGGTAGAAGCAGAAGCAGGAACAGAACCTGTATATACATATCATACATTGATGTAACTTCTTTCCAACAAATCAGAATATTAATACTTAAGAACAAGAGAGAAGAGTTTAGGGAAGAACCTGAACATAAGACAATACTACAATAATCCCCAACAAGCCAACAAAGTTTGCTAGAAGAATGTTGAGAATAAACGGAAGAGAGTCATCGATTGTATATAGATCAGAGGAAAACCTAAACCAAAGGAACCCAAAAACTAAGGTTAAAATGAAGAATAATACACATGAACCAAAATGTTTTCTTATCTTGTCTCTCTAACCTGTTAAGTATTCTTCCACTTGGTGTCTGATCAAAGAACTGTATAGGTGCATTTATAAGGTTACTGATTAATGCATTATGAACACGCGCTGCTGCTTTTAATCCTCCAAATGCAAACGAGAATGCTCTCACCAAGGTTAGTATAGAGTTGATAATGCAAAAGATACAAAGAACCATCTGCATGATTAGTAGTGATTAAACTCAATAACATAGAAGATAGATTCATGAATATTATAAAGAGTTTATTACCAAATAAAACGAGGTTGAGTAATGTGATACTCCTCTTCCTGTCTTGTCAACCCAATATGATAACCACAAATCATTCCCGTTACGAGAAGCTTGCATCAAAACCGCTGAGACCAGTATTACAATTGTAATAAACCAACCAGAAAACACAGCATAGTTCCTGCAAAAACAGTTAAGTCAATAACTTGCTTATACATAATCAAGAAATAAACAACATGGTTAAGCAAATTTTTGTTTACCGATAAACCATTACTTCAACTCGGCCTTCTTTTCTTTCTTCTAATTTGATAATATCTGCAGCTTCACTAATTTCATCAACATCTTCTTTCTTGGTAGAAAGAGGTTCTTTTCGTTTTGTAAAGTGATTTGGTGATGACATATCAAAGTCATTGGTTAAAGAAACCGTCGGATATATGGATTTAGGAATATTGATAACAGGTCCTGACCATTTCACTTTGCCTTTGTCCATCACAACAACAATATCTGCACAAGATATCGCCTGTCATAGTAAGAAGAACTCGACGGTATGAGAAAACAAATTGGATTAGGTGTCAACAAAATAAGTACATCTCCATGAGGGTCCTCAAACAAATACATTGGATCTTGATATATTTTCATTGTAAAGAGAGTTTGAAACCTGAGAGTTGTGAGTGCACATAACGCGAGTCTTTTTGTTCAACAGAGGACCAAGAAGTGCTCTTTGCAATATCCAACAGCCTACTTGTGAATCCACTGCACTCAATACATCATCAAGAAGATACATGTCTGAACTATGATAAACAGCCCTGTTGGTTATACACACACACAAAATCATCAGAAACACAAAACTCAATCTATGGATGGTGAAAGAGCATAAGACACAAATCAAACCTGGCCAAAGCAAGCCGAGCTCTCTGCCCTCCAGATAAGTTTACTCCTTTATCTCCTATACATGCCATGTCACCTCCGACCATATGTGAAATATCCACATCTAGTGCACAAGCACTCAATGTGTCAAAATACCTAGTTTAAAAAGGTTACACAAAGATTAAACTATGCCTTTTCTTAGATAAACAATATATAACAACTAAGTTTGTGTAAAACATAAATTTTTGAATAGAAGTGCATAAATGTGTGGATGAAGCAAATTTAATAAACCTTTTGGAGTCAAAAAGCTTCCCAAATAAAATATTTTCGCGTAGTGTTCCAGATAAAATCCATGGGACCTTGCAGAGAGGTGAGGTAAATGTAAGACTTCTCATAATTGAAACCAACAAGAAAAAGAAACATAGAACGTTTTTGTACTAGTTTACAAACCTGTGGTACATATGCTACAGACCCATTTAATAGAATTGATCCACGAACACACCGCATTTCGCCTAGTAGTGAATTCAACAAAGAGGTTTTACCTGAACCAACCTAAAAAAAGAATAGGAACCAAAAGATATTTAAAGAATGATACTACAAATCAAGAAAGAGTTTATTAGATTAACAAAGGTGGAGATGATTTATATACCTCACCGATAACTGCAACGAAGGATCCCTTTGGCACTCTTAGGCTTACATTTTTTATTGTCAAGTTATAATCCTCTTCTATGTTACTTGACCAAGTACAAGATGCATCTTCCACAAACACAGCTAAGTCTTCAGAGGCCAAACCAGAATCTATTGAAGAATCTTTTTTATGCTCCAAACAACACAAGAACTTGCTCACACGCCTGGTGGATATAAATGCCTGTAACAAGGGGAACAAATTAATATATATATATGGTTGCTAAAATGCTAATAAACATGATTTAAAGACAAGCTTACATCAATGAGGCCATTAATGACCCATGGAAATGAGTTTAATGGAGAGATTAAGCTATTAAACAGAGCAAGACAAGTAAAAACCTGGAGAAAGAAAAAGAAAAGTATCAAGAATGTCAAGAAGTGTTTATACAAATTTGAATCAAAAGATATTATAGAAAAAGATTCAAAAAAGAACCGTTGCTGCATCAAGTTGATGACCCATAAGAGCATAGAGACCAAAAGTGCAAAGAGAGAAAAGAGTTGGTGTTGTTGCCCAAAAGAAAACACACCAAGCATCCAAATACTTCCGAGTCTAGGAAAGACAAACGAAGAAGTAACATGTTAATATAAAGCACTTGGTTATAGAGAAAAAATTACTAATAAGACAGTTTAAGGAGGGATACGAAAACACAACCGCTAAGTGAGTCACTTCGTTGGCTCTTGTCTCCTTCAACCATGTAGCAAACCAGTTATCCCACCCATACATTTTTAGTGTGCGTATGTTTGTTAGAAGCTCTCCTGTTTTTCTAATCCTGATAGATAACAAAACCTTTTACAATTTGAAAAAACACTACTCAAGTAAAAATTTGTCATACCTCTCATCTTTAAGCTTCATCATTTTCTCAGTTGCAGATGCAATTAGAACAGATATCCATTTATTGACTGGAAACAAAAAGAGTATATGAGAAAAGTGGTAACTTTATGTTTTAGGAATTGTGGTGTTAAGCTCATACCTGGTATCAACAAGATTGTGATTGCAAGTCCAGAAAGAAAAGCAAACTTGACTTGAGTATACAAAAAATACAAAGCTACCCCAATTTGCAAAGGCAGGCTGAAACAAATATATCAAATGAGATTGAAAGAGTACACAATATTAGAAACACATTTCATGATACATAGGCACATGTTGTTACCTCCACATGTCATGCAAACTGTTGCACAAGTTAACAATGCGGTCAGCATCTACCGACATAAATGTTTGAATCTCGCCCTCAGAAAATCCTGACCGGTTTGCTGTATTCACCAATAAACACTGCATACAATATAATCTCTCAATCAAAACATCCTTGACCAAAGAACGATCAAAAGAAGCATCAGTCTGGAGTCATGGCTTGGATGTTTAGATATCCTTGATCGAATACTCACGAAAGCAAAGCGAAATGTTCCAACATCTACTGTTTATATACAAACTTCTGGTTTGATAGTAGTTCACTGCAGACAGTTCACTTTCATGAAATTTAAGGAACCAAGTACCAATCACAGTACAAGTTTTCAATTTTTCACATTCTTTACCTTCTTATAGATGACACTCATTATACTAGATCGTAACTTCAGTTTCAGCTTTGAAAGACGAAACGTGTATTGTGTATCAAGAAAGGACCTACAAGACAAAAGCATGTATCAGAAGAGCCTATAACTATTGCTACACATTTGGGTTAGATAAAAGTTATGACTCGGAACTATACTTACTTAAAGATAGATGTAAGGCCCAAGGAGATAGCGAGGGTATAGCCAACAGAACTTCCTGAACCTGTTAAGTTAGAAAACACTGTTAATGATTCCATTCATAAGCATACTTACCAAATCTTTAAAAAACAATCAAGACCTTTTTCTAGATACTTGATAAGTCTGTTGAGAAATAAGGGGCCTGCAAAGCCAATGCAATCATTGAACCCCTGCAAAACTTAGATGTTATTAAGTAGCAATAGTAACAAAGATTCCAAGAAGCTCGAATAAGCAAATGTACCTTCAACAGTCCAAGGCGAAGATAAGGCCATCCATATACACTAGAAATTGACCATATTAGCGATGGATTTGAGGAGTTACTGCACTCTTGAAGTTGCCAGCATCTCAATAAATTCTCACAACATGTAAAAGGATCCATATCAGGTGGAAGTGGAAGTAGATTTTCAAATTCTAGCTGCTTCATCGAGCCATGTTTCATTATTGAACCGATGTATCCAAAAGTGAACAAATCCCACCAGCTTTTAGTTTCCTCCTTCAAAATGAATAATTCTGTTGGTTTTAGAGACTCTGCATACAAGTACTAGTTCATCAAAAGGAAGAGAAAAGTTGGCATACAGTTCGCCTTTGATCATCGCATTCCTCAATAAGTGGATCTTCCAAAGAACTACAAGGAGAATAAGATATTAAGTGAAGAAAAAGAGAAAGAAACTACAAAAGAGATTCATATAAAAGCATATACCTGATCTTAACAGGTGTTTTCTTGATCCTAAGAACATTAATAGAGAAACCAAAACCAATGTCCAACATGACCAGACAAATCTCCTGTGCAGACTCCAAATTATGTTAAGGAACTACTTATATGGCTCGAAATGGTTGTGACAGATTTATAAAGACAAATGAAGTACCTGTAAAGTGAAAACCATGTTAAGATGAAGAGCTTCGGTTATGAATCTAAAGATCCACCAGAAACATAGAAACCGGCTAGTGAAAACGCAGCAAGCACAAGCAAACTTTGATGAGACCATGACAAAAATCTGCAGAGTAGAAACAACCTTCAGGACAGAAACATAAGAGAAAGACAAAGAAAGAAGATTCTTGTTTGAACCTTACCCACATTGTGAAACGAGACAAAGAGAGAAAACAAAGAATGACTTCTCTCCTACGGTTTGTTCTCACAAGCACAACCAAGTCCACACATGACAAACATGCTCCAAGTGCAGGTATTACATACAACACACACTTCTCAATGTAGCTTTTCTAATAAAAAAGAACAGAACAGAAAATGGAATCATCTGTTTAATTGCAAAAACAAGACCAGAAATTAGACTTACTTACTTACTTACCCTTCTGTTACACATATCATTCCTTTTCATTGTTGTGAGTATGAGAATCAGAAGAAGAGTAACAACATTTGCTCCCAACCCTAAAACTGTAAACATAGCTTTAAGGAAACACAATAAAAAAATTAAGACATTTGATTTAAACTCTTGACCTCTCATGTCTAAACAAATTCCTATAAACCCAACAAGATGAAGGAAGGATATATGTCGCCTAAACGTTCCATGTTTGCGTCCATAAAGTGCAGCTGAGACCAAGATTGATAGATTTCTCATCTCATCATCTAAACACACCAACAAGTGAAGCAAATAGTAGTAAACAAAAAGCTCTACTTACAGTGGAATTGGTCAGAGTAATAGCCATGGATTCTCTCTAGGGTCCCAAAACCTTCTGAGGAATCTGAACAAATTCTTTGTTTTTTTTTTGTCTTATAAAATGGATTCTCTATAGGGTCCCTATAAATTTTGGTTAACTATTTCGATGTATAATTGTATTGTATTGTATCTTTTTATTAAGTGTGACATAAAGCTGCCATCATTAGTGAGTAGTGACCATAAAAGGTTAAAAGCTAAGTTGGGGAATGGTCCAAATGTTAAAATAATCACTTTAGCTGTTTATGAGTTTTACATGCGTGGGATGGGATGGAATACTTTTAAACGATGCCACTCATCTATTCAGCTTCGACACAAGTGTCGTCTACCCAATACCCATTATCACTTTTATAGGAAAGTTGCTACTTGCTAGGAATAAACATTTTTAACTCTGATTTCTGTTTTCGGTTTGACTTAGTTATTTGGTTTTAGAGTTCTGACCAAAATAAGTTTGTTTTAGTTTACTTACGGTTCGGTTTTTGTTAAGGTAACTAGGATTTAAGTCGTAGTATATCATGGAATAAGTTTTCCAATTTTCTACCCGAATCGATAATTATATTCTTATTTCTCCCCAAATCGATAGTTCACATCTACTTTTCCAATTTTTTTAGTTTGAACGGTATACAAACCAAACCCAATAAAAACCAATGTAAACATGATATAAAGTAATAAAAGCAATATTTAAACCCGACCTGGCCTGTAAATGATCTGATCCAATATCTTCTTCTTCACTCGAGAAAAAGGGAAAGAGATGAAGAACAAAATAGAGCAAGCTTCTTCTCTCACATCTCCGACAAGCCTCAATCCGTCCCTTCCGTCGCTGCTTCGTCTTTCTCCTTCTTCATAAATAAATTCAAGTAGCATTACACAAATACGTTCCCTTTACAAGAAGATAATAGCACCTGTAAGAGGCTATTCAACGTTTTGTTAGGTGTTCATCTCCTTCATTTGATACTGGGATGGTTAATGTTCTATGTACTGATGAACAGATGAAACTCACCAGTGGTGATAGTCTGAAACCGTTCTTGACCAGCTGTGTCCCAAACCTGAAGCTTGATACGTTTGCCATCAAACTCAATCGTTCTTATCTTAAAGTCAATGCTACATCAAGGCAAAAAAAAAAAAAAAAAAAGAGAGAGAAATAAGACACTATAAAACGCCAAGGAACAAAGTCAAAACATACATCACTGAATTCATAAAATACAAAACGTAAGGTAATAAATAAACCAAAGAATTTAGCATATGAAAAGGCTAAACTCATGTCATTATGAAGATTTTGTTTATGTGAAATTTTAAAATATATTAATCAACAAAGAAAATATGAGATTTACAAAAGTATAATTTTTTTTGAACTATAAGATTGGAAACAAATAAAAAGATGGTTTTAAGACCAAAGAATTATTTAGTTTTCATCTAAATTCCATATATAGTGATTGCAAGTTTTGAAATTACTTTTGGAAGAACACCATCCAACTTATGTATAATTTCATAGCGTTGAGAAGACGCCATTCATGAAAACGTTGTTATGTCTTTGAAGTTTTCTCTCATTCAAGATTAAAATATACGAAAAAAAAAAATCATACGTCCCGTAATTTGTAATTCATGTTCAAAACGTAGTTCAAATCATATTGCTTACTATGGTAATGTTTTCAATTTGTTTTTGTTAATTATCATCATTTTCATGGACGTCACACTCAAAACTATGTCTTTATCTATAAATAAACTATTCAGTTTCCACACAAGTTATCTACCCATTATTACTTGTATAAGAAAGTTGCTACTTCATCGTCAAAAAAAAAGAAGGAAAGATGCTACTTGATATGAATGAACACTTTTTAAAATTCTGATTTCTATTTCGGTTTGACGTATTTGGTTTTAGAGCTCTGGCCAAAATAAGTTTGGGTTAAGTTTATGTATGGTTCTGTTTTTGTTCAAATAATTAAGATTCAGGACCGATCGGTAACCACCGTTATTATTGACTGTAGAGACTTTAACTTTAAAATTCTAGCTGCAAATAATTTAGTAGTTGATGTTTTGGCTGTAGAAACTTCAACTATTAAAACCTAATTAGTAACAAATAACTTTTAAAGTTGTAGCTATTATTTTACTTTTCTTATTATATATTAATAGTAAATATAAATTATGTTAGAAATGCATTCATATAACAACTTAATGAGAAATATTAATTTTATTAAAGAGAAAATAAGATTTTAAAAATGTAAGTCAATCAAAGATGTAATTTTGGTTAACAATACTCTTATTTCTTTTGCTTTTCGTGATTGATTCTTGATCGATTATTGTGACAAATAATAATAGTTTTTTAACTGTTTTGAATGTTTCTTTTTTTATCGTGTAGCTATACGAGCAGTCAAAAATCCATAGTATATACTAAGCAGTCAAAGATCATGTTACTGGTGTTATAAAAGAAGACTAGGATTTAACCCGCGGGACAATATTTGTATTTTAAAAGTTTCATATCAATAGTGTTTACGTTACGATGGTTTTGCTATTTTGTTATAATTTTTTTTACCGTACTAATATAGAATTTGTTGATTTAAACGGAGTAATTGTGGTACACATGCATAAACTTACGCCTGCATAAGTTTTGGTTCCTAACGTTATCAAATGTTTTGAATAATTAATTTAGAGGTCGAAAAAAATTTAGAGATTGAGAATTAATGTGAGTATATATAGAATTTAATGATGTAATTTTTTTATTGTGCTTTACATAATTTTTTTGGAAGGTCTGAACATTGGTTTTAACTCATAGTATACAGCGATGTAATATTTATCTATAAATACAACAATGTTAAACTTTTACATTATTTCAAGTCTAATATTTAAATTCTATATTTTTGGATTTAACATGTAGTACATATGTAATTTAGTAATTAAGTGTTACAGTTACACATTTCAAAGTGTCAAATAAATATCTGTTTCGTTTAATTTAACGTTCAATATATTGATCTAAAAGCTCTAAATTACACTGCGGGGTAATGTTTTGTACATCGTTTTTTCTTTTTTTGTATATTTTTAATGGTAGTATGATTATAAATTTTGTATGATATGTTTGTTTCTTCAATAAATTGCAAATTTTGTAATGGTAATTGTAGTACTAGAAATTGTTTTACATTTCATATGATATGTAATTATATTTAGTATTTAATTAGTTACATAAGGCTTTACTAGTGTAAATGTTGCATTTTCTGAAGTTGGAGGTTGCGGTTTCAAACGTTATTAAGTGTTTTGAACAACAAGTTTAGCAATTAAAATTAGGTACATTTGCAGGAGTTTATGACTATTTGACCAGCGGTGCAATAGCGATTAAATTAAAAAAAAATGTATTAAAACACCAAAAACATACTAATATGATAAAATTTTAAAAATGAATATTATTAGTAACTAAACACCATAAGTAAATGATTAAGTATAAATAATTAAGTAATTATTCAAAAATATAAAATTTTTAAACTTGATTAATAATTTAAAACTAGAAATAATTAGTAAAAATAAATAATTATTCAAATATCAAAAATAAATTTTATTGTGAAACAAAAATAATTACAAATATTGATCAGCTACGAATAGGAATTAATCAGTTACGAATCACTCTTTGTGTGGCTCGAGTGACATGCTCCTTTTTGCTCTGAAATCTCCTAACTACCTCAAAATGCTTCAGTATGCAGAATGCATGCAAAACATATGCAACACCTATCTAATTGTGCAAAACATGCAAAAGAGACTAAAAATGATGGAAATCGATAAGTGAACGAAGTTAAATAGATGATAAATGCATGCTTAAACATGGTAAAAATATAGACAAATCAATAAGTCAAAATACGGTTGAGGACTAGATAAGCTTTGTAATAGAATTTTTCAGCTGATTAATAAAGTTGTTGAGTTTTTGCTCTCCTCTGTCATCTCTCTTTTCCGGTTAATCGAAGTAGTTTGAATAAAATCTACACACATTTGTCTTCTTGTATCCTCTTAGTTCTTTTATTTGTTTTATTTCTTTTTTCACAGCTTCTCAAACCAGTACCTATAATCATTCCAAATTTGAACTACTCGTTCGTCTTGCTCAAGGGAATGCTCTGTCCAACCAACTTTTGGAAAACGGAGGAGTGCCCACGATGGAGGGGTTGAAGCTAACAACCAAAGATTACGAGTCTGGCGATGGATAATATCACACCGGAAAGTGAGAGTCAAAAGTGGTTTAGGTTTAATGAGTTTTTATATATTTCCATGATTTAAATTACCTTTTTATTTGCCATTTTCTAATTGAGGCGGCGGATGCATGCATGCTGTTATTATCTTTTCCATTATTTTATTTAAATATATTTTGTGTTCTTTCTTAATTTCTGGAGAAATTGGTACCAATAACCTTTTTAAAATACCCTCTTTTAAAAATAACCTTTTTAAGATACCTTGTTTTAAAAATATCCTCTTTTGTCATTTTCATTTTTACCCTCTTTTAATTTTAATACCCATTTTACCCTCAAGACCATTCAACCTAATTGTTTCTCTCTCTCTCTCTCTCTCTCTCTCTCTCTCTCTCTCTCTCTCTCTCTTATGTGATTATGTGAATCGATTCTTCTTTCATACTGTTTTTAGGATATATTTTGTGTTTAATCGGTTTTTGGACTACAATAGACAGAGCTCTTCTTCTGTATTCTACGACTTGTGTTTGTTTGTATTGGTGATTTTAATTGACAGATCTTTGTCATTTTTATGTTCTCAGGTTCAATGGTTGAATTGTATTCTATATGTGGCTTTGGAGTTACATATATAATAATTATGGGGAGTTTGATGTTGATCTAGAAAGGGGAGCTTCTCTTGTCAACATAGATGAGAACATTACTTTTGCCGAGTTGGTTGAAGTTCTTGTAGATGATTTTCAAATTGATAGGTTGTCAAATCTTGTGAAACTTAGTTATAAGTCACACTCTAATTTAGAGCTTCATCCACTTTATATAAGAAATAATAGACAACTTCAAACATTTTTGAAAAAATTGTCACCAAGTGGAGGCTTGCATAAACTCTGTGTAACAATAGAAGATATTTCTTCTACAGTTGAACATGTATTTTTTTTTTTTGCTATCTTGTGTTTCATTATGTCACTACTATTCCACCTCCTTTACAAAAATTATTGTAAACCCATTTTAATACTTACATCCCTTATAGGATGGAACGTCTTCAAATCTTTTTGCTGAGAGTGTTCTTCTTTCTCATGATCCAGTCATATTCTTGTAAGTTACTATTCAAAATCCTTAGACTATGTGCATTGGAGTATACAGATAAAATTGTCCCACAAGTTTTTTTTTTCTTTCTTTCTTAAAATTAAAAAAAAAAAAAATTAGTCAACCGATCGTGGGCCGCCACGTGTCGCGGGGCCCACGAATAATGAACTAACCAAAATGAAGGACGGTCCCGATTTTGTATACATCCTTCTCATTTTTGCAAGTTTTGATTTTAGTTTTAATATTTTAATAGATAGGACTTTTCCTGAATACTCTAATGCATATGCCCTTATAGACTTATAGTATCTCTTACATGCTTTTAAGACCTTAAAAAATTCTTGTAAAATTTTTAAAAACTTAAATCTCTTATAGGAGAGTCTGATCGGCTGATTTCTCTGACCCATGACGAAATCAAAACTCTCGACGAATGTGGTAAGAATAAAAATAAGATACCTACCGGAAATGATTGAGAACGATGAAAAGCGTGACCAGAGATGGCGACGAAACAGTTAATCGGTTTCGTATCTCGTGTTCTCCGTCTTTGCCTTCGTCGTCGTTAGTCTTTGTCGCAGTTGTCTCTGTCGCCGTCGTCGCCCACTCTCGCCGAAGTTTTCTTCTCTTAATCGCCCACTCTCGCCGTCAAAAAATTGAATTTTTGGGAAAAAGAGAAAATGAATTTTTTCTTTGGGAACCCTACAGTTTCATTAAGGGTAAATGGGTCTTTTCACATCAGAAGATATATTTTTGAAAATGGACACTTAGAGAGAGTTTTGTATAACATGATATCATAAAAAGGTTAGTTGTGCAAATCTCCCTAATTTTTCATACTAGTTATATAGGTCATACAATTATTCGTTTTCACTTCTATGTTTTTAGCTCGTC